GAAAGAGAAGATCCATTTGCTGCATCATCAAACAGGTGTCCAGCTACAGACCTGGAAAAACACACTGGAGGAGCAGTGTCACTAATGTTTCCATACATACCGAGATGCCGGACGTTCCACATGGGATCGATACTGGAATGTTGCTTGTAAAATACAATTAGCAGTGGAGGTGTCGTGATGCTGCCAGCCAGAGTCCGACTGTAAAGTTCCTCTCTGGAAGAGAACATGAATAGAAGTTGGGAAAGGATGCTTGTGTGGCCCTAAACCAGTTGATTTTCACTTGCACGACGGGAACCCACAGATACACATTCCTTCATTTAGCGGTTAAATGCCATTGCCAGAACCCAACCCCTGACCCGCTGTCGCCCTCATCTTGGGGGTACTTACGCTACATTAAGTGCCATCCACTTCTCCAGCTGCTTAGTGATGTTCTGTAATTTCCATTCTGTCAAATTGGCAACAAAAACTCCTGGATTGAAAGAGCAGGTGTTGGCTTTCATGCCAAGCTTTCGGATGGTTTCTTTTTTGTAATCTAGAAACCCAATGTAATTATACTGGAAAAAAGAGAGTAGGAATTAGCTTAAAATGTGGTCAAATTACTATTTAAAGAAAAATTTTGCACGACTTTCAGCAGACAAGCACAACTTGTTGTGTTAAAGCAAATACAAAACAAACTTGGTTGTTAAAGCAAATACACCTTTCCTTTGACATAAGAGAAAGAAAGCTTAAGGTCTAACGTTTTAAAACTATGATTATATAAACTACATATTTTAAGGAATGCTGCATGGTCTTAATAATACCATATTATTAATACGGTACCACTCCCAGAAAAAGTACTTTCTATACACTCTCAAATGAAAAATTCTCCCTCTGATGTTCTAAGACCTACTGCTGTTCCACACTGGGAAAAATTCCAAGTGCTTTTACTGTGTCTAAGCAGGAACTGCAGTTGTCATTTGTAACACAAATATCAGAGTAAATTGGTTTGGGTAGGGACAGTCATGCCTGTAGGTTCACTGCATTTAGAAGTCAACATGCCAGAACATTAAAAGTGAGTGTCCGTTTCCAAAGCCTGGGATCTACAATATTGTTACCACTGAATCAGAATTAAAACTAACCTGGTTCCCTGCTCCACGGACAGCAACTTTATTAGTGGTTGAGTCACAGTCATCTGAAAATGCAGCAGCATGTCCAGGTTTCAATGGAGTGTTGTAAAGTTCAAGAATATCATCTGAAAAATGAAAGTAAGAACAGAAGTATCAAAAACAATCCCGATTAAGTGCCAAGTGACTTTTTTCAGCCCATTTCTACAGCAGATAAACCAACTCTGTTTAATCTTATTTATTCATATTTACAAGTTTTTACATCTTTCCTGGAACCAGAAGTGTCTGGTTACTGTAAGAGAAGGCATACTGACCTCAGCATAAGGCCAGTGGCAAAAGGCTAAGAAAAGGTCCCATACCTTGCACTATTACATCATCATCCACATAGATGATCTTCTCTGCATGAGGTACCAAACTGGGCAAGTAGAATCTTGCAAAGGTTAACTATGAAAACAAGAAAGCAAAAGAAGTGAAGAATTAAATTAAAAACTATGCAAATAAATTTGAAATTGACTGATACTCCTGGCACTTATCTATGGCACAGATGTCCAAGACAACTTCTATCAAGGAAGTAAAATAGGCAGCAATATCCTAGCAGTTATTTAAAATAAATAGGTTACATCAATTTCTGGTTTCCTATGAATTTTTGCCTTAACAAACTAACTTTAAAACTGATCTAAACAAGAACTTTTTATTTCTCCACATATATCTGTAGTATCTCTGATGTGTTGGCATGCTTGACATGCAAGCCGTGTTTCACTGTAGCTAGCAGCAAAAAATGATACTAGGCATGCATGTGTAGACATTCAAATCCATCTCTCACTACCTGGAAATTTATTGTTGCTGAAATTTAAGAATTTGATTATAAAATATTCTCCTATGCTAACAGATTTGGTTTTGATCTCTAGTTGTGTTCGAAAGCCAATATCAAAGTGTATCATTACTAATAATGGCAAAAAGTAATCAACATCATCCTCACTGGTTTTAGGGAGTCTGCCTTTTGAGGATCCACTTGTACTTTCCCTTCTAAGACATGAGGGTCAAAATCCAAAATTCGGTATCTCAAATTTTTCAGAGCAGTTTTACTCAGCCACAGCCTGCAAACAGGAGAAAGGCATTGATTTTGTTAAATGAAACAAAAAATCAAAGGAAAGGCAAGAGATCCAATGGACAATGACACGGATCTTGATCTGGCCACTCGCTTCCTGGGCATGCCCGCTATCAGCACACAGCAGCTGTGACACACGAAAGGTAGGGGGTTGCTTCTTATTTTATTAGAAACATATAGTCCCATTATCACAGATCCTTCACAAAAAATACCAGCGTTAATGGACATGGTAACAATAAAAGGATCAAAGAACAATCTAGAAAAATGCAGAAACTTTGTTGCCAGCATTTGAATTGCTTAGATGAAATGTAGGAAGTAACTTTTACAACTCTCCACCAACGAACTCCAATCCCAGTGGCTGGAAATAACCCCACTGGAAAAGATGGCTCTTTTCCATCCCTGAAACGTTACCAGAAGGAAAGACTTCAGGACTCCCCACCACAGCCTTGTCAAAAAGCTGCAATAATCATCAGCAGATAGGACAGCAAACAATTTTGAAGAGCGCAGTTCCAGGGAAAATCAGCTCTTCCTCTTCTCAGAGATACTTAAGTTTTACAGTATTGTGGGAATCCAATAAAAAGACCATTACCTCAAGTGATCCACAGTATCATTCAAAGTGACAATATGGAAAACCACATTGGACCTGGTGTTACTGTAAATACTGTTCATGGCTGCAATTGCACCCCCAAGCCTCTCATCCGATGCTGCAATGACCACGGAAATCTCCTTATCATTCCGTTCATCTGCCAGCCTCTGGGGAACCGCAGGTATGAAATCTATAGGCTGAAGTCCTAATGGATTTGCATCTGTGGAGAACAAAAGGCATCACATACTTGTTTTATGCAAACGAAACACAGACATTATTAGAATGCTAAAATTCCCAACACCTTCAACCGCTTCTGCTATGCCAGCACTTGGATGTCTCAAGCTGGGGTGTGGATTACAGCATGCCAGGATCAAACACTCAAAATATAGCACCTGCTCTTGAGAATCAGAGATGTTAAGGAATAGGAACACATCACACTTGGAAATAAACTACATGCATTGAGCCGTACATATTCACAGGCATCACAACAAGGTACTGAAACGAGGCATAAACTACAGTAGGCTGCACTCACCTTCGGTCCCCTCTGCCATGTCTATAATCCCACTGACTTCCCCCTCCTGTTTACCCAAACCACCTTCTAGTCTTCTCCACATCACCCTTTCCTCTTTTTCTGCTTTCTTTTCGGTAGGAACCAATGAAGAAAACAGAAATTCTAAATTAAAGTCACTGTTGTGAACTTTTTCCCACCAAAGATCAAGGCATTAAGTACAGACCGTGTTTATTCCAGGGATCTCATCATACTACGTTATCTAAGCTGGAACCACAAGAATTTATACTTATAGTGTGCAGACAGGAAAATGGGAGATCAGCATTGCAATTAGACCATATCACCTGTAAAAGTGGCAATAACAACACTGGTACCTTTCAGATGATCTGGACTATTACATATTAGATCATTTTAGGTAATTTGAGGAACATAGCAAACAGGGACTGGAAAGTTTGTGGGCAGTGTTTTGCTGTTGACAAAGACAGGCTTTGCTTCCGTTTGCCTTTTTCTGATGACAGAGCTCAACAGCTTTGACTTCAACTGATTTCTGGTTAACACCTGTCAAGGTCTTATTCAACTGCTGTTGGGAAGCACCTGTACAACTGCTACTCAGGAGCAACAGCTCCCAGGAGCAGCAAACTGGGACTTGGCAGTTAACGGGGACACGGAGAAGCTCTGTGGGACTGTGGGCAGTTCTTAAAAGCAGACTCTCAAAAATTAAAAGGCTTTGCTAAGTAAATTGAACTGTATCTTAGTGACTTTCAAAGCCAGAAGGAACCCTTACTGCTATCTCGCCTGGCTTCTTGACCAAGAAGAGTCACAGGACATCAAGAATAGACAGTCCCATCAAGCTGAAGTTTCCTGGGTATGAGAACAGGAAAAGATCTACTCGTAAGTGAGTTAAAAAATTGTATCTTGTTATGCAAATAACTGATCATTATCATACACATCATTTCAGCCACGTGGTGGTTTCTGTCTGACCAGAGCATGTGCTTTCCCACTAATCTTAAAGAAAAAAAAACAAAAAACAAAAAACACCCAACATACCTGACAATTCCCGTTTCAAGAAGTCACTGAGGCCTAGGAAGTTATGATGAAGAACTAGTAAAAATATGACAACAGCCACTACAAGGATGGAAATGTTCACTGAAAATTTCAAAGAAAAAAGTTAATATAACCAGAGAATGATTGGGAAACTCAGAAAACCACAAAAGAGATGTTGAAAAGATCAGACACATACATATACACATACCTTTCCTTAATGTCATTTTCCTCTTGTTATTTTATTTATTAGCATAAAGTTCCTGCAAACCTGCACGAGAGAAAACACAGCAGTCACTTCCTACTTCCAGTGCATGCCTGCACAAGACACAGCACACTGTCGCCAGGAGCGTCAAAACCTCTTCTGCCCGCAGCGGCTATTTCCTTCTCTTAACAACCCAAACCTGCACGTCACGCTTCAGTCACCGAGTATCGTATCTCAGTAAGTCTGTAGCGACAACGACGCATCTAAAGAAGAACTCGGAGCTAAGAAGGGAGATGTACAGATCTTGCCACTTACTTCACCGACAGAAAAAAATCCCAAACTCCTTCTGCCAGTCAAAAGTGACCTGGAAAGAATCTGGAAAATTACATATGGTTTCTTTACTGTTGAAACAATTTATTTAACTGTCTGAACTGGAAGCATCCCAGCAGTAAGGCAAATGATTATACAGTTCTTTCCATACTTAACTAACTGCAAGACCTTGGCAGGACGCAATGTTAGTAAAACTTTAACAAATAGCAGTATAAACTTTCAAAACTATGAAATTCTCTACATAAAACATAACAGAGTATCAGCTGAAACGTCATCACACAAAAAAAGATCACAGGAGCGTGAAAGAAGGTATTATCGTCGCGTTACAGAGGGGGGTAAAACCACAGCGCGATGACGCCATTTCGGTATGAAACTCAAACGCGCTTATTCATTATTTACCAGTAACCGCGGTTATAAAACCAGAACGAGAACCCCCCGTCCCGGGGCGAGAAGCAGCTCTCCGGTAACGCACGGGAAGCGCTCACACCGTGACGAGGAGCACAACCCGAGAAACAGCGGCAGTTCTGCACGACGAGCACTGGCCAAGTCT